CTTCTCATTTCTGAGGTTTTATGGCAAGGAAGTTTCCGCCGCGCTGCCCTATTGCGTGTTGGTGAACTTCACGTCTTCGAAATATTTTTTCCTATTTCTCAGACACGCAGGTTGCATGAATTCCTTCACCGCCGAGCGCGTGGTAAATTAGCACTTAAAATCGCAATTAACAATTTTATTTGTGCCCTAATTTAATCTAAGATCTAAAAATTAACTATTGGTAAGATGGTTAGTGCTCACTGTGAAATTCACATTACGCGAGCAAACCGGGTTCAATCTTATTGTATAAAAAAATCATAACAAAATTATACGTTAAATTGATAGTAAAATACATTGTTAAAAACCAAATTTTATTTAAATGCTCTAAAAATAATTTTCGTATGTTTCTCAGCAAACCTTTTCATTTGATACCCATATCATGGGAGTATATAGCAAAATACTAATCCGCCATCTTGGGTTCGCTATATTGGATTCAGAATGAAGTCACTATCTTACCATGCCTTGTCATGCAAACTAAACAGTTATGCAAAATTTCGGCTTAATTGGCTGAGGATAACTGCTTTAAAATTTATTTGCAAGATTTGACCCTAACAAACATATAAACATTGCAAGTTAAATAAAAGCTTGACCAGGCGTCTATAAAATACCACTTGAATCGAGAGTGAGCGAGTGGTTGCTTCACTCTAGCGGAGTGTCACATCGATGGTGGCGGGGTAGAATTGAGGGTAGATCAGGAAACCTCCACTGGTTTGTGCAGTATAAAGTTCACTGTAGGTGCAGTGCGCGTCATTTCCCTAGTGAACCGCTCCCGAGCGGTCGTATACGACCGCGCTCACGTCCCCGTACGGTGAATGCCTCTTCGCTCTCGCGCCTTCACTCTCCCGCTCCAACCCCTAAAAGGTCTTTTTCACCCCCTCCTCTCCCAAGGAGATTCATCAGCTTTGCAATTGTTATTGTTTTAATGTTGACCCCCTCCACTAAATAAATGCAGTACGGCCCGAAACGAACCGCCCCCACCCCCCCACCCCTCCGCCCCCGCCCCGCGCCCCCCCACCCCCATCTCCCCCGACCCCCGACACTGCTGCTGTCCCTCTAATGTCGCTAAATATCCCCTCCCCTCTCCTTCCAAGCCAGCATCTCGCTGCGCCCCCACCCTAGCCAAGAAACAGCTCACGCCCCTTGTCTTCCTCAAAGACAAAACGCAATTCACCTCCGCTTCCCTCTCGCTATCGATTTCACAGGCCGAAAAACTCTCTCTCGAACCCCCTCAACAAGCTTTCGGGTGACATGAACTACCTCCTGGCGGCCCAGGCCGAGTCCTCTTCCAATTCGTAAGCTGCCTTAGTTAGGCGCGCCTCTTAGCGGCTACTTGCCGCCTGCGCCCCCCTTTTCCCAAGGGGGGTCGCTTACAATACTGCAATTACAAAAGGCCTTACCAGGTCAAAGCCAGTCTCAGGTGGTGTTTAGTGGGTAGGCACTTAGGTCTCTCAGTGAATCTCACATAAAAACAAAGCCGCCGGCTGCGTGGTATGCTTAGAGCATTCACCGCCTCCCTCCCCCGCTCCTCGGAGGGTAGCCCTTTACTTTACTTCTGGGCGCAAAAAAAAACAGTGCGCGTGAGATTCCGCCTAAATCATTCTAAGAGTGCTAAGAACTCGTCCAACTCGTACAATAAATGTGTGTCGTGGTTGTAGTAATTGTTCTAGTGCAGGCAAAGAAGATCGTGTTACTCAGCGGCTGTCGTGTGAAAATAAGAAGGGTAATGTTGTTAGTTAGTAGTAGTTGCATGCTTTGTTGTTTTCATGTAATTATGTCCCTCACGTTGCACTACTGTGTTAATGTGACGGGTACATGTACGGTATGATTAAACTGTAATTGTGTTATACTGAATGCATACGGCAGCTTTCCACGGGCACAAAAAATCCTAGATTCGCTATATGCTTCATAAACGCCAAGATTGTGCGCACCATCAAATGGCGTTTGCTGGGGCAAATGTCAGTTTGTCTCAGCCGATATAACGCAAAAACAGACGGAGGCTAGATGATCTGAAGCAGAGAATCCTCTTGGGAAAAGCGGATCGACGATATGCCGAGAGGTCGACATGGTTCAACCAGAATCGTCTCTTCCAGATTGATCAGAAGAGGCTCTACGAATAATTGGAGCGACCAATGGAAAGCGGAATGGGCCCAACACTGAATCCTGTGGTCAGAGCCCGTAAACCACAGGCCCTTGGACGGAAGTTGTGGCAAGGCAGTGTGTCAGTGTCGCAGTCGAATGACGTAGCTGAGGCGGTCCGTAGGGCCCCAAACTGGAAAAGTCCGGGATTCGACGAGCTGCATCACTACTGGCTGAAGGCGTTCGTGGTGTGTCACACTGTGCTTGCCCGACAGTTTCAAGAGGCTCTCAACCAGAAGTCGCTCCCGAGCCTCTACACTACTGGGATCACCAAATGAGTGATCCCAGTAGTGAAAATCCTAAAGAGTAGGGTACCACAGAACCGAGCAAATATCGCCCTATCACGTGTCTACCAACCATATACAAGACACTAATATCCATTTTGAGCGCGAGAATTACTCGTCACATGGACTCAAATCAGGTGATGTCGCGCGCTCATAATGGATGTCGGGGCGGTGATCGTGGAACCAAGGAACCACTCTTATTTGCCGCGGTCATTGGTAAAGTGGTGAAATTCAACCGTCGGAACTTATCCGCCGCATGGATAGACTACAGAAAGGTATTCGACTCGGTTCCCCATGGCTAAAGAGGGTCCTCGAGTTGTACGAGATTAACCGTACAGAGACTTCCTCGAGCAGTGTATGGAGCAGTGGAGTACGATCTTTTGTCATCTAGGCGAGCGGATGATGGCTGCGGAAAGCCGCATAAGAAAAAGAAGGGGTATCTTCTAGGGCGATTGTCTGAGTTCAATCTGATTCTGCCTCTCTTTGAACCCTCTCAGTACTTTACTGGAGGGCACCAGGAGAGGTTTTCAGCTTCGGAAAGGAGGTAAAAAAGTGACTCACCTTTTCTATATGGGTGACCTCAAGTTATTCGCCTCCAGTCGCTCCCATCTTGTGGAATTGCTAAACATCACTTGTGATTTTAGCAATTCTGTAGAGATGGAGCTGGGAACGGATAAGTGTGCGGTCCTCCATATTAAAAGGGGAAGGGTTGCTAATTCCGAGGGCAATGATTTGTCTATAAAATGATTTGTCTGTTAAAGACCCTTTCCGAGACTGAAACATACCGATACCTAGGTATGTCACAGAACATCGGTATCGATGAGGCTATGAAATAGTCAGTTTGAGACGTGTATTATGCACGCTTGACCAAAGTGCTTAACAGCCTTTTGTCTGGTGTGAATAAGACACACGCACATAATGGTTGGGTCATGCCTGTCCTCATGTATACCTTTGGCATACTCAGGTGGACTCAGACCGAACTTAACGCCCTGGATAGAAAAGTCCGCACTACCATGACGTCCCATAGGATGCATCATCCGAGATCGTCGGTAATGAGGCTGTACTTGGCGCGAAAGCATATTGGGCGTGGCTTTTTGAGCGCGCTTACCATACATAATCATGAAGTGTGCAGCTTCCGTAATTAATTCCTGGCGAGATCGAGTGTTCCATTCTGTACGGACGTTATTTCTTGGGATAAATGGCTTACCCCTCTATCCTCAACCAACGAGCAATGGCAAGACCCGGCAGCACAGAGTATTTCCGACCGGGGGACCGTATGGAAGGAGAAGGAGCTCCACGGGAGGTTCTACAAGGCTCTACATGAGCCTTTTGTAGACACAGTAGCCTCTCTCCACTGGCTACGCTTTGGTAACCTCTTTGGGGAAACCGAGGGTTTTGTCTGTGCAATACAGATTCAGGTTATAAAGACCAACAACTATCGAAGGTATATCCTAAGGGATGGCACCGTCGATATCTGTCGAGATTGTCGCCATTCCGATGGGTCACTTAGGCATGTCATCTCTGTTCGGTGCTTTATAACTCTGAGTACTTGCACAGGCACAACCTAGTAGCTAGAATTATTCACCAGGAGCTCGCTCTAAAATAAGGTCTCGTAGACAGGAAATTGCCGTATTACTAGTAATTGCCAGAAGCCGTGCTAGAAAATGATCGCGCCAGACTCTACTGGGACCGGACCATCATCACAGACTATTCTTCCGAATAAGCCTGATATATTGTGCCGACGGACCGAGCACAGTCAAGGATATTTTTGATCGATATTACCATTCCGTATGACGAGAACCTCGTGAAAGCCGAAACAGATCAGCAAACAAAATATCTGGACCTGGCTCACGAGGTGACCTTCATGTGGGGTGGTCTGCCGACCGAAATTATTCCTGTAGTCGTTTCTGCAAACGGGCTAATCCCAGTCAGCCTCTCAGGTCATCTGAGGCGGCTGGGACTCCGTGACGGACCGCTTCAGGCTCAAATGCAGAAGGCGGTGCTCCTCGATACCGCCCGCATCGTCCGCCGGTTTCTTTCCCTTTCCCCTAACCCTCGGCCGTTTGGTCTCCCCTGCCAAGCAGCGTATCGGGCAAGGATACTTCTTGTTAATTAACACGAATATTACGGAATATTTTTGAGAAAAGACCAAACCATAATATACGCAGATACAAAACAGGGTCATAAATAACCGATGCCAATAGTGAACAGGCCTCCATCTGCTTGGGCTTTTATTTATGTATTATTTATTTATTTATGTTAGAATATATATATATATATATATATATATATATATATATATATATATATATATATATATATATAGGTATTTAACATTTCCTCTTATATATTTATTCAGCCCAACCAGATGAGAATACTCTATTAATACCCCAAAATAACAATAAAATAATATTTGCCACTCGTTTCTACCTCTTTATACCTACATATGAATGTATTAAACAATAAAAACATGTAGCGAAAAGGCATGCTATTAAATTATGAATATTACAACACATTACTAAAATAGAAAATCGCACTTACATAGCGCCCACGTAAAGCGTATTTCTCTCTTCATTCATATATAATGTACGGTAAAACAGATTGCCACACGAAAACTCCCGTATGTGATCTGGAAAGAAAATAAAAATTTTAAATTTCATTTCTAAGCAATAGACTAATAAATATAGCGTACGCTCTATCTCATCCATTACAGCCTATAAAAGTCCAGTGCTCAATATAGGCCTTTTCAGTAGATTGCATCAAAATTCCTCTAGATATTGTCATAGTTGCCACGCTTGGCAAGCTCGTTGGCAACCCCAGTTTTTTTATTATTTTGAGTTGTTATCAGAAAGATACTGCTACACAACTCTTTTTTCAGTTTTCTTCTGTCGCCACTTACGGCGCCCGCGTATCGATATGTAGTAATGGATATTCTAACACCGAAACATGCAAGCATGGCTAAATTCTCTATCAGATCTGTCTCAATTGTGTAAATTAAATAAGTACTTCAAAGTTCATAAAATTATGACGGTCAGATAGGACTTTAAATAAAATAAATAAATTAATAAATCAAAAACCCGACAGCAAAAGAGAAAATTCTTAAGTAGTACTAAAAAGACCGAAACAAGATTGGTTTTTATTTTAAATTATTAATGTTCTGTATACATTTTACTATATACTAAAGCAATATCATAATTATACATTATGAGTTAGACGTTTTAAATAATGGAAAATCACAAGAACCAAAGACCATTTGCATAATAAAAAGCTATTCATCTTAGCCTTCACAGGGCGACGTTGTGAATGGTTTATTGGTGGTATATATGGGATTATCTCGTAATCTATTGTGACTGCCTCGTTAGTCCAGTGGTTGTAGTAGTGCGACAGCTGGTCATGAGGTACTGGGTTCGAATCCCGGTTTGGGCCAAAAAATCAATTATTGAGTTTTTCCGTCAAGAAATCCTCAGTAACTGCCCGGAGTCAGGAAGTTGGTGGTGTCTCACCGCCATGCCTCGGTAAGCACGTAAAGCCGATGGTCCTGCGCGTGATCTCTCTCCGGTCGTGTCGGTTTACCGTCCCATCGGATTATGAGAGTGAGGGAGTAGAGAGTGCACCTGTGCTTGCGCATAAACTTGGGCACTATAGTCCCGCCCTGCGCCGATGGCTAGTCTCCGTTGAGGCTGGCCGCCGTGACCTAAAATCGGTCTGGAGGACATTAATATTATTATATGGGGTTATACCCTACTGTGACTAACAAGTGAAGCACTGTTAATATGAGGGAAAGAAATTAAATTAATATCTTATACATATACTAACTAAGCAGTAAAAGAACCCAACCTTACACTCATATCACACACTGTTCATATCTCATCTCACTAATACCATAAAACCGCAAGGTTTATTGGATTTTAAGAATCTGAGTTATTAGGGTGGACTCCAATAAATAATTTATTTAGCAGTTTGTTAAAATACGAAAACTAAGAGGATAAAATTAATACAAGAGATATCTGGTATCTACACAGACGAATCATTAATAGAAAAACAATACCAACCCTATTCTCACCTGTTTGTATCTTAGGTTACTAATACGATAAGACCGAAAAACCGATAACAATTTTTGGGATCGTAGTTAGTAGGGTAGAATTTTGTGTATTATTCATTGAACATTATCAGTTTGCAGGAAAAGCGAAGAATCGCTTATAAATCAGCAGTTTATTTCATTCATATCTATGCATTGACACAATAATTATAATAAGTAATAAAATTTACTTTCCGCTGTTAAGCACAAACCTCATTAAATTATGAGAAAGGTTTTGTAGTAGGAAGTGAGAATAGAAACAACTCAATGCGTGATGGTTGAATAAATCTTCCAATTTTTTTTTTAATTTCGCCGCGTGCAGATTTTTGTTCATGAGGCACGCGGAAAATCACTCAAGATTGCATTAAAATATATCTGATGGTACGAATCCTTTTCTACCACCGACTTCATCGGTAGGTACTTTGTGTAGTAAGCCACGACCTTCAACCGTCTTGACATAGAAACACATCCACTTCATAAAATATGAACGATTATAGTGTATCAACATTTTAATATTTGATAAGTCTAGAGTCTAGCTATTTCGTTCAAATAGCATCAATTAGGTATTTAAATGAATAACGGAGTTAACGAAATGCAGTAGATTCACCATTGTTGATAAATATTTTCCACGAAAACAAACCGTTGCTGGTTGCAATTTCACTCGGTGGCCAATTATGACCGTTGTTACCATAGCCGGTGATTATTGACAGGTGCTCCCGCGACACGCACGCTAGCTCACGTGACCGCTTCATTCTTCGTCATATTATTTTACAACCATGCTAATTTAAATATAATTTTTTGAATATTTTATTTTATTTAGGTTTATTTTTATCAACATTAAATTTTATTACACATAGGTTCAGGAAATCGATGGATGCAGATGATTCAGGACCGTGTTATGTGACATTTCTTGGGGGAGGCCTATGTTCAGCAGTGGACTTGTGAAGGGCTGTAATGATAATGATGACTCATAGGTTTATTACGATTGCGTCTGATAAAATTAGAAAATTATTTTTAAGAACACTCAAAAAATACGTGAAACACCGGTAATGAAAGGTTGTTTTGATATTATTTTTATATCAGGTATTTATTTACATATAAACAAGTGGTACAAATGTATGTCTGATTCTATTTCTACAATATTAATTTACTGTACGGAGTAATAAGATGCTTTAATTCAACTTTCCATCATTTTATGTGTTCGATCGAATTTCCTTTGAAATACTTAGATTTAAAAGAAATGCGATAAATAATGAATAAAATAGAGCGAGACACCAAATTCTATTATTCTAGATACATAAATATTATCCAGTGGCAGCTTCGTACCAGTAAGCAAAGTGTACCAGTACGACAGGAGGTCTCAGAGTTTTCATTCCTTGACGGAGGTCTATGTTCAACAGTGAACTAGTTAATGTCTGTAGTAACTGAAATAATGAAACACATTTTAACTTCAATACCATTATACACATTTCTCATTTGTATTTTACAATTGAAAATTAAAAGTTACCACTTTTATATTATGATAAAAATATACAAAGATAAAATTTCCTATGTTATTCTATTTTTGTCAAGAAAAGATAACTTATGATTAAATAGAAATTTTATGTAGAAAATTCGAATTGATTTCTAAAACAAAACTTGTTATTTGATCAAACACGTTTACATTTTGCAATAACGTCCGTTGTTGAATGCCACAGCGATTACAGCGCTAATGATATCATTGTTTGAATATCTAACGAACAGTGTTCAGTGATTTACACAATATACGAATCAAACACGCGTGTCACGCTTTTCTAATTATTAATTGTCAACTTTGTTTCCCTAAAATGAGCTTAATAATATCGCATTTAAGCACTCAGGTTTAATTTGAATGCTAATCATTTTACGTAGAATAAAGTAAATAAAAGGATCTAAAGAGGAGTTAAGTAAAGAAGCTTTAAATTTATATTTACCTTGAGAACACTTTTAAAATACAAATCTGAAATAAACTCCCGTACACACAGTTCAATCGCTAATGCGACTCGAGTGTGATTCTATCGATAAGTCGCCATAAAACAAGGCACTCAGAATGAATCGTGTCCATCATTTAAATAAAAACAGATAACTAAATATGTATATCAAAATTAGGAAATTTGTGAAAACTAGTTATTTTAATTTATATAAATTATCTTCATATTTATGCAGAAAGATGTAATTTAATTTTAATTCATAATCATAGTAATTTAATTCATAATAATAGTTCAATAAATGCACACATTGATGTGATTTTAGGATACTAAGCCAAAGTTTCAAACACTTTAAAATATTTTGTTTTAAATGTAATGGAATATTTTAAAGCTTTCATGATATCTTAATTTCCACAAAATGAGAGACAGAATGTGTGAGCTAATCACAGTCACAGAACGAAGAACGGTTTATTACCTATCCTCCTATTAAAACGTTAATGCATCGATAAAAAATTTCTTTAAAATGTATTTAAGGCAGGTAACATAAAGATATTATGTAAATTTTAAAGATGAACAAAACTGAGAGAAGGAAACTCAAGTACAGTGGACCTGGTAATCCGACAAACATTTTGCAGGGCAGTGTCGGACTATCGAATTTGTCGGATTATAGAGTACTGCCTAAGACCCCTATAGTCCGGATTTTTTTTACAAAAGAGTACCTTGTAATCCGACAAATTTACAGATCCAATGATAAAATTCTATATATATATATATATATATATATATATATATATATATATACTCTGAAGTACAAATCATACTTCATTATGTATGTCAAATTTAGTAAATTATATAACACAATAAAGAGCTTACCTACTTTTTATTATAAAATTAACCTCATTTTTTTTTTGTTTTTTAAATAAATGTTACCCTACTAGGATTTCCTCCTGTATCGTGGGAGCAGTTTACAAACATAAATTCTACAAGGACAAACATCCAGTTCCGGAACAATTATTTGTAGGCCATACAATTACTCGTTCCGTGCGGGATTCGAACCCGCGGCCCCCGGCGGGCCACTCATTGCTAAGCCACTGCGCCACGAAGCCGTCAAGTGCTTAAAACTTACAAAACATATGCAATTAATTTACATTAGGAAATAATTGTGTATAAACAAATGTACATACTAAAATAATCAAAAATTATGAATCAATCATTTTAAGAAGCATCAATTTAATAGCGCTATCAAGAAGCAATAACGCTTTTTAAGGAAAATTATGATCTCTCAACGATTTTCAGAATCAAATTTTTCATTTCAGAATCAGCATCAAAACAATACCCTACGCGTCGAGCACAATAGTGGTGGGGCGTACAAGTTACAACTTGTACAATCATGTATTAGCAAAAATTGTCAAAAACAAATCAACAATAAATTGACCATTTCGGATTACAGGGGTGCCGGATTAGACAGGGGCCGTATTACCGGGGTCTACTGTATTGATACACAAAGGAGAATTCCATTTCCATACATTCTTAGGCACAGGTGTTAACAAGATGAAATTAAGACCATTCGAAAGCTTACTTACTCGTGTAAACAATTCATAGCTGAAAATCTGTTAAGATTTGTCAACCTAAGAGCTGAGTTATCGTAAAATAAGTAAAAGTGAGGTTTCATATTACCTACACTGTAACAGTCGATTTTTCACTATAGTAACTTAAATATAATTTTATATTTATAAATTTGCATACCTACTATGTATAAGTTTATTACAATTAAAACAATGGCCCATGATGTCAATACTTAATCGGGGTTAGCTGTGTAGACAAGATTCTCGGTGCCTAATAAAGAAGAAAGGGCCAATAAAAAGCCAGTTTATAAATCATTAGAGTTTTAATATCTTTAACATAAAATTCTATAACTAAGCACATACTGGATGAGCCTCCATTATAGGCAGGGTATACCTTTGCCCTCCTAACGATCTTGTTTCTTCTTGTATATTTGACACTGCTCCGTGGTCTGGATATTTCACGCCTGGCATATGCGAGTTGATTACACCGCAGACTATCACAAGCTACAAGAAATTTCTGACTTTTCACTTTCGTCTCTTATAACAGCAATGAAACAAAGTAGGGTAATGTATTCCCGTCGAAGTGCGCAAATAAATAAAGTTCGTAAGTGTCAACAACTTTTTTTATGCAACGCTGCAATTTGCTCAATCATATTAAAATATTTTTTTTATTTTCAATCATTATCCAAATTCTATTACCGCCAGCACCAATTTTTTGTTCCATTTTATCACATGCTCAGCGGTGAAGGAAATTATCGTGAGAAAAACTGCCCGATTAATGTATTATGTACAAGAGAGGTCTGTGACGAGAAGGGAACTATATAAGCTGCTAATTTACGTTACATTTCGGCTTAAAATATGGCTTCAAAATTGAAGAAATAACGATGAATGTCTCGTGTTTGCCACGAGTGCCCTTTCCACGACGTAACTATTATTTTTTCTCTTTTTATTAGTATATAGTATATTCTATAAAAATATACAATGTATGAAATATAATTAAAAGGATATGCCAGCTCCATTATACCCTAATCTTACTGATACACAGTCGAAAAAAAAATCTTGTTGAGAAGAACTCAAATAATTGTTGGTGTTTCATAATATTCTTTAAACATGTTGTAACTTTAAATTTTATAATCGTTAAGTCTATTTATTGTAGTAAAATAAATATTTCTATGCCATTTATTATAGCTGATTTAGCTTACCTGTACCTCTTTGTAACGTTAACCTTTTTTGATATATTTAAAAATAATCGGAGACATTTAATTTTAAAACGGAAATCTCTATCATAACCAAAGTTCACTATAATTTCTAAAGAACTCATTTTAGCGGATAGTAAAAAACCATACATCACCCGAATTGATGCATCTCTGGATGTAGTAAACGTCCACCGACGACACGCAATTTTAAAAACTATAAATAAACTTGACATTAATTGTTCACAATTGACATTGTCTTTGAATTTATCTAAGAGGTAACGTTGTCACTATATGCTTTACAATAGACGTAAATAATAAATTTTTTGTTCCCTCTTCCCAAGTGGTACTTTTAAAGTTAACAATTTGCCATAATTAGGTTTCAGCTTTGTGAGAGTAGATTTTTGATTCTGATGTAGATTTTTGTAAAAAAAAGTCACCAGAACGTAAAAGATACGTCTGCACCCGTTATATTTCGCATCGCGATACTTCAATATATTTTAGGTTAAAACAATACAACCTATTTATACATAAAATACAAAAAAATGTTTCTACTTATGTCTTATGTATGATATAGACTTTGAAATCATCCAACCGATTTTGAATTTTTTTGTATCATTGAATGGGTTTCTAGATGGTTTATATTCATATTTGGACCCGGTAGGTGGCGCTGTTGTCGAGATCCAGAAATTACCCCTGGGAAGCCAGGGCGGTAGGTATCCGCAAATAAATGAATAAAAAAATAAAAATAAAAAAGCCTTTTATTTACTCTTTTTCTGTACTCTACTAACGTGTTGTCAAGACATATAGAGTTTTTTGCGGCATTTGTCATGAGTTTTGTTTTTCTCAGGTTAATTTCTAGTCCTACCTCTCTACTTGCTTGTTGTAATGTTTATATCATTGAATATAGCTTTATGCGATTTTCTAATAGAAGGACAATGTCGTCGGCGAACCTCAAGTGGCAAATAAGTTTCCCTACTAAGCATATACCTATTTTATCCCAATTTAGTTTTCCGATAATCGATTCCAGTACTACCATAAAGATTTT